CCATTCAACTTTTGTTCAAAACATTTTTTTCTATCTCTCGTAGTTTCGATAATATTCGTATTAAAATAAAAAAACCGATTTTTTTCTAAGGGGTGTTTCAACCCTTGTGCGTAAGAATATGCAATAACTTAATTCTTGGTTTTTGTCTAGAAAATAACATATTAAAAGCTCATCAAAATCGGAGGGGGACACTCGGTCCCTTTCCTTGTAAGTCCAAAACTTACTTTGAGCTCAATAAAGCCCACAGATTGATTTTTTCAATGGAATTGTTGTTTTATTGCAGATTCATATTGTATGAAACAAAATAAGGAAAGTTTGTTTCTAGTAATTTTTAAAATCTCCAACAACAGCGCTCAAAGTTCTTATTTTGTAACATATTCCGGCCTAGATCGGGTACAAAATCCATACAATCTTAAGATTTGAATATCTAGTACACCTATTTCAAACGTGATTTTTCGTTAAGTGAAGTTCTTGTCACTTTTGCAATATAGCTCGTTTCTTTGTCAGCTTTAAAGATATCATTTCGTGACCGAAAAAGCGAATTTAATCTTTCATGAATAAGCGAAGTTACACACCTATGAAGAGTTTTAAATATCTTTAGCAGTTTCCTTTCTTACATTGTAAATTAGGACATTTTTATTACGATTAGGTTCGATTAATTAATGTTTTGTAGCGCGTTTCCGTTATGACGCGACAATCATAAGCGGAACGGACGATGACAACAACGACGACCGCACTTTTAAAAACGGGTGCGTGCCAATTAGACAGACAGCTCGTAAACGCGTACTGCGCGACCGTGTCATTCACTGACTTACCTGCCATTCTCGTTAAGCTCGCAGACGAGCTAATGATTCAACAGGTGTTGCGCGTTCAGGACGAGCGAGTTCGGCATGGCGTTTTTTCTTTTCTCTTTTTTTTGTTCACGATATTCAAAGGACCGCGGAACGTGGCCGATACGAAAACGGTCGGCGGAGAGTCTGAAAAGCTTTTGTGAATAGCCGAAGAATCACTTACGAAAGCGGGTAAATATAAACTCTTCGAGATGCTTGTAAATTTTTATCAGCCCTCCTCGAAGTACTTGAAATTAGATAACGGAGATTTTATTAAAGCGAGCGTTTCTAAACAAAAAACTATTCGGAAACTTAAAATTTATAGTTGTCGATTTCTGATTACCTATACGAATAGCAACTGTGAGAAATAATCAAGTAGTATCGAATAATGATAATAAAATTTGAAAATTAGCAGATATTGTTTAAGGGGGAAACCTTTTAGCACGCTAAAAAATTAGGTGATTTTTGAAAATTTTTTTTAAGAAACCCAACCAATCCTTTTGAACTTTATAGGGCAATTTCTTACTATTGAATTAACAAAAAAATATTTTTTTGCTAGAAAAAAGTATTTATTATGCAAGTAATAATAACATTTATTCGACGGTGACGGTGTTTGGCGGCGTGTAAGATAACTCAAAAACTATTTATCCGATTGACTTGGGCCTTTGCACACATCTGCACAAATACTTCCCCAATAACTTGAACCACAGTTTATAATAATATTATTTAATTAAATAATGTTTAATGCATAATAAACACGAACAATTTTTTGTCAAAATCGCTACCTTCTTTTCCAAGTGTCGGGATTTTCACAATTTCGCATTATTTTCTTTAAAAATAGGTTAAGTTAATGCGTAAACTCTTAATAAACAATAATCTTTTTAGATTTTTTATTTCAGACAAATACAACCAACGCTACATTGCATGCCGCCCGCCGACGCGCCGAATAAAAAGTTATTATTACTTGCATGATAAATACTTTTTTTTGGTAAGAAAATATTTTTTGTTAGTTCAATAGTATAAGAAATTATCCTATATAAAGTTCAAAAGAATTGGTTGTATAATTTCCTTAAAAAAATTCCAAAAATCACCTAATTTTTTAGCGTGCTAAACCAGGCTCCCCCCTTAAGATAAGATGCATAACGCCAATATGTGTGTGAAAGTAACAATCATTTTTTCCATTCTTCTCTCTTTTCAAAAAGTAAATAAATAGGTCTATCATTAGTTCACTATTTCACGCAGGACAGCAGCTTCTTTCGAAATTTTTACCTCTGACAGTGCTTCCGTGTCAACTTTTTGCTCTTCCATTCACACTCGCTTATACTTCTCGATTTTGTTTCTGTCACGTTGTAAATGAGACAGGGACCTAAATCCAGCCGCGGGCGTAAGCATGCGTCCGAGTACTTTCGCGGCGCATAATGTGTCCTTTTTAACGCTCGTGTCCGCGCGTGGGGGGATGCGAGGAATAATTTAAATTCAATGTACACAGAGCTCGCGCTTACAAATCGCCCGTCCTCGTTTCTCCCATCATCGTAAGCCAGCCCCCATCGCAGACTACGTCGCGGGCGCACCACTGCGCGGCAGCGATGCGCCGCGCCGCGTCCGGTTCTCGCGTGTAACTGAGATACATGGATTTTGTTATTTATATTATTCGAATATCTTCCGGCTCTCGCGTGCACGCACGATAACGGCGTGTATACGCACTACCCGTCGCTCCGTTCATCATCCCTCTCGATATCTGGAATTCGCTCCGATTGTCGACCGCGAGCCCATAAATACAACGCGGGATGTAAAACACACAAATTTAATGAGTTTCATTTAATTTTGGTCAACGCGGAGTACGCTTTTATTATTAATCGAAATGCGGTTGCAATATGATTAATCAGTTCGCCTGTCAATTATGTATAATAACGCGATGCGCGAGAACGAGCAGAATTGCGACGTTAATAAGCGACGCTAATAGGCATTAATCTACTGAAACGGATGGAAAGAATGATTCTCACGACGGATTAACGCTTCGATTTTTAATTCCGATGCGTTGTTACGACGCGAAAAGTTGAAGTTCAATCGAGTTTTTCGAGCTTCGTCGAAATCACTTGTTTCACCTTTATTATCGTTGAATGACCACCACGGGAAATTCTCGCGTTATTCACACGCACATAAATCTTTCAGTGGGAAAAATTTCAATGGTCATACATAAACCACACGTGGAAAAGTTGCCGTGTACGGGGCATCTTTTGTTGGGTTTTCTCCGCTCAAAAACTACTCGCATACATCGCATACCTGCAAGTGTGGTCCAGTGTGCGCACGTTTGTGACCATGCACTATGTTTGCTTTCCATCGTTCGTGTGACATTCAAAGTTCTCAAGACGGATTAAACATACTTTACGTGTCTCGCCGTGACTTGGACAAAAAAAATTAATTCATAAATGCATACCAAGTGACAATTCAGAAGTTACTGAAATTAAATATTACTTTTATTAGCATATAGTAATAAATAAACAGAATGAGATAAATTAAATGTTATTCTGTACAAGAAATCTTCTGTACAAGAATCTGTTATTTTAATTGTAGCATGTAGTGCAAAAAGCATATATAAGTATCTATAATTCTAGAAAAATAAATATTATAAAAATGTCAAAAATATTGCATGTGTGACCGGTTCAAATCATTGATTCTGAGAATATTCGCAAAACCAATCAAATTACTGGTGATTTTTAGATTTTTTGTTTTATATTTATTGTTATAAATTTATATATGTATTTTTTATATTATATAACAAAAATGTCTTATCTCTATAATATACTATTTAATTCATTTTATTTTGTTCACTCATTACACAAGATAACTAGTTACAAAATAACTATTTAGTTCCACCAACTTCTCAATTCTCACCTTGTATATGTTCATGCAATAACTCATATAATATCATGTAATTTTAACGGCGTTAGCATAATATGGTTGCGCTCCAAATAGAAATTCTTTTTTTAATGATATTTAAAAATGTCATTACATCCCGTAATTATCCATAAACTTTAACATTCAAGATATCTCAAGATTATCCATAAATATTTTAACGATAAATTTTTTAAAATTAGATGCATGGTCAAAAAGCAGTCTAATTTTTATAATTTTTAAGCTGACAATAAGGAAAATATATTGCATATCACGATTGCATATTACAGTTCAGTACTGGATTGTTTTCTTTTTTATTCTGAGAATTAACTTGTTCATGGACTTGTCTCAATTTTTCTACGCCAATCATGATTTTTGTCAATTGTTCTGTAACTAAAGCATAATGTAAAAATTACGAATTACAACGCCAGATTTCTCAAACTTTTGCCACTGTTTTGCGATTCAATGCCAAGTCGAATCGATTTACGTATCGCGGCATACTGATCGCGCGAAAGAGTAAATTATTATCAATGGAGCCTGTACAAAAGTATGTTAAACGGTTGCGCAAAGTGCAAATCATGCCGCACGCGCAGTCGCGGAGCCGTTTCCGATTGCATTCAATCGGTAACAAGGTCATTGGCTCTCCGCGAGACAAGCCTAATTGCGTCAAGCTGCGCACCATTTTTTAGCATCGCTCTCCAGCTCGAACGTTTTAACACGGGCGATGTGAATATCGGGTCGTAAAACTGCGGCGAAACGAATTAACGACAACCGCATTTATCGTTGTTAAACGGGGATTAATCGCCGTGTGTTGGTACAACGCGACATAGTGGGGCACAGAGTTATGCAAATAAGTCACTTCGTGTTTCAACCTATAGAACGAGAACTAATTCGTCGAGTTAAACGCGCGAAACTTCTCGGTTCGCGAACAACGGCGTGTTTTAAATTTAAAAAATAACGACGTTACTCTATATTTATAATACATTTAACGTAAAAAAGATAATTATTACAAAATCGCGCACAATGTAACAATTATCGCATATAAAATTCGACGTATACTTCGACATATTCATAGCTGATAATCGATATGCTGATAATCGAAGTTTCGCGCGTTTATCTCGACGAATTAGTTCTCGTTCTAGGTTGAAACACGAAGGCGACTTATTTGCATAACTCTACCCGCTTATGTGTCGCGCGTTGTACCCGACACACGGCGATTAATCTCCGTTTCTTATTGTTCGTTCGGTATTTATGTGATACCATATGTTTACTCACGTATAAATTCCCATTCGTCGATCCTTATCCCCAAGCTCCGCTTTCCGGGCGACGTGAAAGATCGTCTCGGTAATTGCCGGAGGGAAGCCCGCTCCGTTTCCGCGTTTCCTTTCACTCACGGGGCTCCTCCGAGGGACAGAGCTCGCCAGGCTGGAAATAAAGAACACGTATACTTTTAGACGGGAATTCTCGTTTCCGAGCACGGATGGATAATCCACGTGCCAGGGATGAATGTCACGATACTTTGCCAAGAGAAAATATCATAAGATACGAAAAAAAATTTTCGGGTTTTTTTGGGAACACTAATCGAGACTTTCCTGTCCTTTGCAACGCACAAAAAACTCAGGTAAAACAGACAATACAAAGAAAATTCACAAAAAATTGTTTCATAGTTAAGATGTTGCAACATTGTAGTTATACTTCGTTGTTAATTTAGAGTCCGATCGAAACCGCTTTTTCAGTTTCGGCCAAAACCGAAACCGAAACTGTTGGATAAGTCTTACAAAAGCCGTATGATTTTCAGAAAATCGTAGGAAAATGTGTGAAACTTATATATTCTTTTAAAAATTAGATTTAATAATATCTTCTTAATAAATAATATAATATAATTTAATAATTAATAAATAATAATATAATTTTATTAAAATATTCTATAAAATAATATTTTATTAAAATATTCAATATTTTATAACATAACTTCTCGAACGTTCGCCGGTGCGTTGCAAATTAGTTTCGGCTTACTTACTGAATTTTTCTCTCTTAATTTTGGCCGAAACCGAAAACAAAACAAAACCCTGATTTTTTACCAAAACTGACCGTAACCGAATCCAAAACCGAAATTTCGGTTGAATTCTAAATTATTTCTAGTTGTTATATTCTAACAATAATAATTTTATTTTTATATTTAATTCGTTATTTTATAAATTTAATTTTATCATATTTAACAACTCGACAACATATGTAAACTTCAATTACTATGTGAAACTGTTTTACCACTGTAATTTCGCCATTTAATATTTACTCGAGGGTTTTGCATAATTAGCCTCATATTTTTCGCAACGCAGTTGTCACTGATGATGTGAATTGGCAGTAAAGTCAACACGGCCTGCGGCGCGTTCTTTATCGAGGAAGACAGCGAGGAATGCTCGCCAGGAATGCGATCGTTGATCACACACTCGACGAAGCAGTCCATCGATTTATTACGAAGTTACGTCGTGAACGACCACGGGGCGTAAAAGAAATCAGTTGCGTCGGTCGCAGGACGAGCTAGTTCGGCGTCGCCTTCTCGGGGGGAGAGGGAAAGTACGAAGCAATAAGGAGCCAATATAAGTGAAAATCCCGGTGTTAATACGTGGCGTGTAGCCGAGCAAGAGGAATGTTTAATGGCCGGCCAACACGCGATCCCTCCAGGCCTTTTTTGTTTATTTCTCTCCTCTTTCTCCCGATCTTCCCTCCGCGCGTCTACTCCACGCTCCTCTTCCTCCGCCACCCGTTTTCACCCAGTTACTGTGATCCACCGCGTTCGAAATTCATGAGCGCAGGAGATGAACCGCGAGAATAGCGGAATAAAAGTGCCTGGAACCTGTTCGGAATATATGAAACAGCACGCGGGCCAGACGCTTCTTACGTGCACCGGTATAATATTAATATTCACGCGCGCGCGCGTATTTACAGAGCTTCTCCCTAATCAAAACCAGATATCAGATATCTGATTATTGCAACGCAAGTTCGAATACATTTTTAACTTATCAAGATTCATTTACACGAAAATTAAATCTCTCTTATTAAATGTGTCTGTTTTTAATTATATCAAATATCTGTTCTTACCCTTGGATTTCACATTTAATTGTCAGAATTCTTTATTTGAAATGCATTAAAAACTTTTTTAAGATACAGTGAAATTAGAGAACTCCATTCTGTAATAATTTTGAAAACGGGCTATCAATTTCGAGATGAACCCAGAAGAGAATTAATTAAGGCACACGATTCATTTTGGCACGCTTGGCTTATTGTATTTTTGCGCAATACACTTTATGCGTTTCTCGATCGTTTCACCCGTTCGAGCACCACGGGCGCAAGTCTCAATTCGCAGTTTTAGAGGAAAAGTTTGCGGATTGCTCTCCTCGCGCCTCTGGCAGTAGCTCGTTTATTGTGGGCTCGATTCCCGCGATCGACCGCGCTGTCGGCCGACCGGCCGGCCGGCCGGCAGGGACGGCGCGGCGCGGCGGCCACGCCTCGATTTCATTCACGGCAGCAAACTCGCGCTCAATTATTCATGCGGAATCTACGCGCCGCGCCTGCCTTCTCTTCCCCCCCCCCTCCTTCTCCCTCTTCGATTGGATTTAAGTCGCGAAAAAGCGGGAAACGCCGCGGCGTACAATCGCGCGGAAATGAATATCTCGTCAACTAATATTGGATCGAAATCGACTTTTCGCGCTTACAAAGAAGCTAAACTGATACGTACCAGATTTAACGTGTGTATGCAAACAGCGAGTCTAAACGAGTATGAAATACCAATATCGCTAACGCATCTACTCTCTGATATGGAGATCTCTAATAGGTTTATCAAATAAAAATATATATATATATATATGTATACAAAATCCTGACGGCTCACAAAAATATTGCTTCGAGATCACCGAGCATCAAAAGATTAAAATCGTGATGGACCGGATACCCCGAGAATAATCGCAATGGATCTTTCTCTGTCTCTCTTTCTCCCTGTTTCTCCCCTTCTCTCTCTCTCTCTTTCTCTACGAGTCCGTTCGACGGAAAGGAAAGCCGAACACGCTGCGCTGCACCGACATCGTTTCACCGCGGCGAAACTGGGACGGGGTTTTACGGGCGGTTATTTACGATCGAGGTTATGAGAAAGGCGGGGGCCGTACTACCGTCCTCCCCCCCCCACTCCTCCTGCCCGCCCCACGACCCCCGCGTCCCTGCGCGAAATCTGCAAAAGGGTTGTACCGCCCGCCGAATGCAAATTACGCGAATTACGTTGCCTGAGATTCCGGTCGGATAACAATCGACGCGCTCGGCGCCGAACCTGGTGCGCGCTTTTATCGGGACACGAAAGAAGAAAACGCACGAGTATAGCTGAATCACAAACTTCAAAGAGACCGAAATGGTCATTCATAACGAGATCAGGCTGAATTTCCCGCGCCGTCCACATTTCGTGTATTATATATCTGGTATTTCGTGAACAAGAATCACGGGAAGAACGGAAACAACCCCCCCCCCCTCCCACCGTTGATTTGTGATTACGTGACGTACGTCAAAATCGTGTATGCGATATATACGCCCTGGAGATATTGAAAGCAAAATACATCGTTCAATTACCGCTGGACGATCCCGCGATTGATGGAAACGCGAGATCGTGCTCGCGCGACAGCGCGCGGCGCGCATTCTCTCGAATTGCGATGCAGCATGCCAAATTTAGTATAAATTCGAATCGCGAATATCCGCGCGTCAGCGCGCCGCGTGTAATGCACGTAACACGCAACGCAAATAACCAGTTTGAAAATTCCATCGGCAATGCCGCGGACAGAACTGCGCTAACGCACAGCGTGTCCGGGAATTATGAAATCGAAGTGCACTCCGGGGCTGCACGGGTGTATCGACGATAGAGAGGTGTGGCCTGCTCTCGTCGACCTGACGAACTTTAATAACGTGCCAGCGCGCGCTGCGGGGCCGCCATGTACGAAAATCGCTTCGTTATCGAAGCGCGCGGAGGGACGAGATGAATTGCGACGAGGCAACGGGACAAGCTCACGTTTTGCGAGAGAGAGAGAGAGAGAGAGAGAGAGAGAGAGAGAGATACGCGACAAGTGTAATTTTACGAAGGAAGGCGGTCGGCCGTCTAGCGATTCCGCGGGGTCGGGTCAGCGACCTTGTAATCTCCCAAGCGGTTCAAGGTCACGACAGAGGTCCCCGCCGCGCGGCGAGCAGTATCGCGCATTCGATTGTCGTCCGGTAGCGAGTCCGACGTCGATTTCAACGCCAATGGATGGACGCCCGCCCGCCCGCCGCGCCGGTGAAGGTGAGGGTCGTCGCCGCACGCGTGACATTGGAAATCGATTTGGCGAGATTGCGCTATCGCGCCGAGATTATATGTGACGAATGGCGCGGGGTGCCGATCGAGACGAATTTATTCGCGCGCACGCCGAGAAAGTTCGTCGGCGGCGATTCGCGTCGCGCAATTAAAAGCGCGCGTCCACGTTGATGACCGCTGTTAAACCATGGTCGACGACGCGGCAATCTCTCTCACACTCGAATGTTATCAATAATAAAAGGCCGACCCGGGCGAACCGGCAACGCATTTTAATGACTCAATTATACGTCAGCAATAACTGTCGAATTGTACCGTAATTATGCTTACAAACGACTAAGTTTTCGGATACGTAAATACGTATAATGAATATCTATGGCGCGAATGGATAATAGGCTGTGAGCCACCGCACTATGTAAACAAATTAAATAATCTCTAATTGAATCGCACGTACGTCCACGATAATGCAACGCGGTACAATTATACCGCGTCGCCCCACATTATAATAGAACGCCGTTTATCCCCGTATAACAACAGCGCAGCGCGCGGTGATAATCGCGAGTGGACCGCAGAAAAAAATAACCGTCCGTCCTGCGCGCCGGACGTATTTTCCCGTTCGAGATCCAATTGTTTCGAGCGTCGCGCGAGCGACGAGGGAGAGAAAAGCATTTCAACACAACAGAGCCGGTTAAAAGAGCGCGCGAGAGGAAACGTGCGGGACGGCGAGGAGCGTACCGGCTGCTGTGTAATCCCCGAGGCCGGCGCGGCGCGCTGGCTGGCGCGGAGCCAACGCCAGCATCCGTTCCACAAATGTCGCTAAATATATACCCTAACCGTTCCTAAACAGAGCGCAAAACTTGGCCGATAGCACGCCAATTGTACGTGTCGACGGGATGACGATCGCGTGTAGGGCCGAGGTATCTGCATTCGCTCGACTGCATTCGTTCGATCCTCCCCGGCGCATTGCACAATCGAATTTTTTATCCTTTACCGGAAAGTCGGACGAAATGTATAACACGGCTCAAAGCGACAGCCAAGCACACCTTTGCGGTATTTACGCAATACCTAATCTGATATATGTAGAGCGGAATAAATAGAGAGC